ATGTTCGAAAGATTCCTTGAAAGAACGAACGATCTCATTATTATTTTTTTCTTATATCTCTCTGTTTATTTCTCCTGTTGGTTTAAAAATATCGAGTGGCTCGGAACAAATGTCACCCTCAATTCTTCGTTAATATCCTTTTCAGAATTTTCTCAAAAGATTTGTCTTGCAATTATGCACCAAACGGTATATTTCACTTCAAGATGATATTAGTGAAATATTGAGGGTGACATTTATTCTGGGCTACCCAGTAACATCATTTTTTTTATTGTAAAGAAAACCTTACACAATAGTTATTCTATATTAACGAAATTAAAAAAAAAACGATTTTCATTTTAACATAAAATTATTATTATTGTTTTAACATAATTCTAAAATGAATATGACAAAAGAAAAAATGAATAATATTAATTTGTTCTATCTATTTTAATAATAGCACCAACTAATTCTTTTTTTTTTTATTTAAATTTGTTTAACATGGTACAGCTGTTTGACAATATCTTGTTTCTTTTAATGGTCCACATCGTTTACTACTATTACGTGTTCGACGTATAGGAATACGTGTACGTGTTTGTATGGCATCTTGTCCATAACCTGTACATGGAAAGCGTGTACTTCATTGATTTGCAACACAATTAGTTGGTGCTAAATAAAATGAAATAGGAAAAAAACACATCAATAAAAATATGTAACTACATACGACAAGGGTTTAAATGGCATCGTTGAGTTTCCAGAAAAAGTAATTGACGGTGCGCCTATAGAAAATATTTGGATTGCATTAAAAGAAAGCTACCGAGGGCAAAAATAAAATAATATTGAATAATTAGCTATTTTTTGTTTCCTCCTTTTTTATTTGTAAAAAAAAATGCTTGATTCTAGAAAAACATCCTTCATGAGTTTCAAGCCGTCGGTATTATCTGCATTATACCGGCGGTAGTGCGAACAAACATGCAACATAGGATCTTACTTTTAGAAAACGAATTAATTTTTTTAATCACAATATTTTGCGTGCTCAAAACTTTCAAATCCAGTTTTTTTTCAGTTTTAATAACATATGTCTGTCGATTATAAATGTACGAATGTCACTTTGATTCATTAATATTAATATTTTTGTTTTCAAAAAGTCTCTTATATTAATAGAATAAAATATATCTCTAAAAATCTCGTAATCAATCATTCTATAATAAAATTACCTTTATTTCCATTATTATCACATTGAGCAGCATGTGCACCGTGACATTGACGTTTTTCAATTAAATGAACATCTTTACATCTTGGATCATGATGTGAATTTTCACTGATATACCATCGTCGTCTTTCTGTTGTACCTTGACCATATGATACTGAACATGGTGAAAATGATGACTAATCAGTTACAGTACATCTAAATAAAAAAAAAATAATAATAAATTATTCTTTGTAAAATCAACATACAGTGCGACTTGCTGATGTTCATCATCACAATTGTCATCTGTTCTTGCATAACACATTTCACTTTCACTCAATCGTTCATTACATCCATGATGATCAGCATTTTTATAGATTCTACAAAGAAATTAATTTATTAATATTAAAAAATTTTTCAAAAAAATTCAAATAAACCTTGTTCGTGTTCTTAATCTATTTCCACATTTAACATTACATGGACTCCAATCTGCCCATGGTGATGTCATATATCGTGGATCAGATGATTGTTCCTCTAAAATTATGAAAAGATATTTTCATAAATATAATCAATAGACAAAAACAAAATTACCAAGTAATTCTATATTTGTTTTTGCAATATCTTTTTCATTCTCAATTTCACCCATACGACTTAAATCAGCAAAATTTGGACCAAAACCAATAACAGATAATGCTTCACTACGTTATGGTCGACCATTTGGACAAGCTACACCTTGTACCATAATTCGTTTAATACTCAATTTAGCAAATGGAGGTGGTTGATTGCCTAAACAATGAAAAAAATAAATGTTAACATTTTTTTTGTTTTTATTGCTTTTTTTAAGTTGAATTCATGCCAAAAGAATGGTGATCGATTATCTGTAATATTAATTGAAACAATTGGTGCAATTGGTTTACGCGGATTCTCCGGTCGTTTAGGACCCTAAATAAAATAAAATTTCTCTTTTATTCTATTCTAACAAAAAACGAAATTAAATCATCATTTACATCATATCGAACGCCCATATCTGTTCCAGCATCAATTGGATGATGTAATTCTTCATAGTTATCTAATCATGTACAATTTGGAAGACATAAATCAAGAGCAGATACACCTATAAATAATAACAGTAAAAAATTTAAAAAAAGAAAAGAATATTGAATTCTTATTATATTCAATAGATTTCTACCAGTAATCCAATCAGGTGATGGTCCAAGCATAGTAACAAATGATTAGAAATGATGATTTCTTGAAGTTGTAAAAGCACGTGTAGTTGTTTTACTTGTATTAACTGTCCAAAGACCAAGTACAATCATCAAATTACGAATAACACCCAATTTAGTCTAAATAAATATATTATTTTTCAAATTATTATTTAAAAAAAAAAACAAAATACAAAGAGATTCACATGATTTTTTTATTTCTTTTTGCATTGTACCAATTGCTCCTCATTCAGCTACTTGTTTAAGACCATTACTTGCAATATCACCAAAATTCCACACTATCTAAAAACATAAAATTTATTAATTAATATATATATTTTCCAAGCAACAAGTAGTTGTAGTCGGTACTTTGACTATATCTTCAGCATAAGAGCATAATCATATATTCTGATAGCACTCCAAATTTACTATAATCTTGTGTGTTTGGTATAAAACTTACATTGAAGTGTTGAAAAATATTCCAATTATGGTAAAGACACTCTCGGCTTCAATATTTCCACAAAACTCCTTTTTCATTCTCACATTCCTATGAATGGTATTTTATATTTCTTTAAGTGTTTTCCTTTGTATAATAGTTATATAGCCTCACACTCCATAGTAGTAAGATTATGACTGAAAGATAGGCAACTATTCATACATAACAAAAAAAAAAAATATGTACTGCATTTGTCTTGCCAGCAAATAATAGAAAGTCGAGGCTAACAAGATACAAGATGTTAGAGAGTTTCATGCACTATCCGAATTTATAATTGCTTTTTTTTTTAAATAGATATTACTATACTCATTACAGATTTCAATTAAAACCAACGACATCGTTAAAAAAAAAGTTTATGGAAATTTAAAGACGAGAATGTCTTCATTGTAGTCGGAATATATTTCAACAATTCAATGCACGTTTAAAAACTAAATACACAAGGTTATAGAGAATTTTGAGCACTATCAGAATATATGATTATTCTATTATGCTGGAGATATATTTAAAATACCGATTACAACTATTTGTTTCTAGATATATATATCATTACATGAATATTCTTCACTATGAACAGCTCCAATGATATCAGACCAATGAAGATGTTCTAAAAATAAGAAAAAAAAAATATATCAAATTTCTGTAGAAATATTTCTACCAGGTAGCCAATCTTTTGGATGTGATTGTTTTGACCAAAGACCTTGAAATGTAAATTGAAATTTAGCTTCATCACATGCACAACATGGATGACAAGGTCAATGAACTGCTTTTGGTATATCTAAATCAAGTTAATGAATTTATCTTTAAATATTTTTTTTTTCGTCCTTTAAACTAACTCGTCATCATCATTTCTTTCTGTTTATTTTTCGACTGATTATTATCACCATCAAGTGTACATTGTTGTTCCAAATGTTCTGTACAATGTGCAGCCATAGCTGCTCGTTTATTTGCATACATTCTTGTTCGAATTTGTGTACCTACTTGATGACAGATAGCATTCATATATGATGACCATTCACTCTACATTGAAACAAGACAACGTGGATCATGAACCACTATTATAATTCAAACAATTGAAATAAGAAAAAAACGATCATGCGTCTTAGAAAAAAAACCTATACTTGATTTATGATTTTGAATAAGTTCATCCCGCATAGCTTCACATTCATCTTGTGTCATAAAATTATTTTCATCGTCTATTAAAAAAAAGATAGATTTAATAAAAAAGCAATTAGGAAATATTTCATCAAGACCTCTACATTCATCGTATTGGAAGTTTGAATATTTACGTGTTGTTACATCAAAAGAGAATCGATTAATAAATTTTGTACATGGACCTGGTTCAAATGGTTGAATACATTTATCTACATACACAAAAAACAAAGAAATATTTTATTTTTCAATTTATAAATTAATTTTAACATACTTTTTTTTTCAGCTGTTTCCATACTTTTAATCATTGTTTTTCGTGTATCTGATAAACGATATATTTGTGCTGAATCAGAAAGTACTTCACAATCACGAAATTCTTCTTATGGTTCCGAACAAAAACCCATAGCTAAAAATTTTATTTTATATGCACGAAATCGAACTTGTGACGTCTACAAACAGATGAACAAGCACTCCATTCTGACCATGGTAATGTCATACAACGTGTATCTTTACCATCCTCTAAAGAACGAAATATATTTTAAAAAACAAAATTAATATAATTTATTTTTCTATATTATAACCTGTTCGTCCACGTAATAAAATATCGCATGTATCTTCACATGCATCACGTGTAAGAAAATTATCATCATTAGCACCACAACCACTATAATCAAATTCAAGACATTTATTCATATCCAAATTAAAATAAAAACGCTGTTCATATTGTGTACATGTACCAGTTTCAAGTGATTGCATACATATACGTTTTTTTTTCTATTATATCTGTTAAACGGCCTTGTTGACATGATGGTTTCATTCCATGACATGTTTCTTTTTCCATTAATTGATATTCTGATTGACATTGAGGATTATCTCGACCTTTTAACATTGTACGAGAACGAATACGCATTCCTGTATCACATGTTACACAACAATGTGACCATGATGACCATTCGCTTACCATACACCTACAAAAAAAAACACAATTTTTTTTTTTCATTAATTTTAATAATAAATATCATAGAATATTTACATTGCATTATTTGATGATTTGGAATTATCATTTGTCATTGATGATAAACATGATGCCAAGTAATATGAAGTCATATCATAGGTTCTTTGATTACAATGACTACGAAAAGCTTTATCTGGCATAAGATAAGCACGTCAACGTGTTTTTATTCCATGATCACAACTAACCAAACATGATGACTATTCAGTCATACGACATTCAGGTAATAATGTTTCTTCTTTAAAATACATAAAACACAAAAATAAAGTCAAAACATTTTTCAAAACAATCATTTACCGTAAGCATATATCAATTTTCCAGAATTATCATATTTTTGTTTCAATCGTTCATTATGATGTTTTGTTTGTGATAAATCAGTGTCAAACGAGGAATCTTGATAATTATTTTGAACTCTATAGGAATTTTGTGTATCATATTGATTATTTGAACATTGTTTACCACGAACAAGTGTACGTTGAAGAATAACACGTGATAGAGGCATTATTAATCTTTGATGTTTTTAATAAGAAATACATAAGTTTTATCCTTGGATTAGCCAACATAAATGAAACGCAAATAGAAAATTAGACATAATACAATTCGTTACTATGATGACTCCATTAATAGATAACAATGTATTTCTAAACAAGCTATTGATTGGTTATCTAAACGTGTATGTTACGCAATATTGTTTTTCAACTCTTCACATCATGTGATATGAATGATAAAATAAGTTTGACAAGATTATGTCATTCGTAAATATTATTGTTTTTGGAAAATGATATTTTATTTAAAACTGTTTATTAAAAACGAATTCTTTTTTTTTGATTTTTAGAAAATGATACACAGCAATAGAATAAATTTTCTATGCACAAAAAGATCAACATAGAGCTAACGAAGACTTTTTTAATACATTATTTTTTTTATTATAATTCATCTTGATTTTTCATTTTAGATCAATGATCAGTATGACAGATTCTTTGTAATCACTTTGTGATATAAGAAATTATTATAATATTGTAAATCTAAAAGAGTTTTTTTTTTTAATATACTTATAATTTCAAATTATTAACTTACTCTTATAAGACAAAAACGAACACATATAAAATAACAATATATGATGGAGATTTATTAAACATGAAATTAATTAAACTAAGCTCATTATATGATAATGGAATGATTTTGCTGTCGTTTATTATGGTTTCCAGAGATTATCATAAACTGTTATTGAAATACAAGGAAACTTTTGTATAAAATTATTTTTTTAAAAGTTAACTTACTTTTACAAAGTGGAACATAAGTACATACAGCAAATTAACAATCCTCTCAGCAATGGCAATTCTATTAAATATTAATATATTGAACTAATCATGTAAACTTTGTAATGATAAAATAATTTTGTCTTATAATTGTCCAAGAAAAAAATAAATACTATGATATGTATGTATTCAGATGACTTTGTATATTTTGTTTTGCACTTGTAGTTTATCAGCTTGCTATTGACTGGAACAATAAAGGTACAATTTTTAATAGTAACGTTGTCCATGATAGTTAATAAATAAAAGAATAATTTTTTTTGCAAGAATGAATAAAATAATCACTTTACAACTAATACAAGAATATTGGAGTTAAAATGTACAAATAATAATTTATATGATAACAATAAAATAAAATTACAAGATTCAACTCAAAGACAGTTAGTAAAGGGAACAAAAATATACAAGACAATGGAAATAAAATTCCTATTACATGAAAAATAATAAAAGAATTTTGAATAAAAGAGAAAAAAAAGTAGAAATAAATGATTTTAGGTTAATTGTAAATCATCAAAGGATATAATAGGAATAACTCCATCAAAATCTTTAACACTTTCGTAGTGTTGATTATATGGATTATATGAAATGTGAAGTTGTCGATCAATATAATCAGATCCAGGTATTAGCAATGGACGTTTACCATATTCATGAATGATTATATTTTGATTCAAAATAGAAGCTGTAGCCATAATAATCAAATGATCTGCATATGTATAGTTTTTCTTCATACGATGAATGTAATCATAAATAGTATCGTCTTCACCGCTGACAAAAAACTCAAATGCAGCACTATTTCGTGTAATATACGTAATTGCATCAGATCTTAATCTACGATGATATGCTTGAGTATCAAAAAGCTGATGAGATATAGCCCGAAAGAAACAATTACCATCACCAATAATTGTTATCGTACGAAGATTTAAACCTCTCAATTGTTCGGTTAATGAATGAAATCTGAAATCATCGATTGTTAAGTTGTTGAGTGGTATTGTTTCTTTTAGATTTGAGAGAAATTCTAACTCTCGCGTGCTTGGAGATTTATTTACATCAGTTATCTTTCTTGAATCAGGATTTTTTTGATCATGATTCGCATTATTATTATTCTTATCCATAACTGGTACAAGAGTTTTATTTTTAAATTTTTTATTATTTTTTTTTCCTATTGAAGTACTTTTACGTTTGTTTGAATTATTAGAAATTCTAATGATTGATGATAATGATTCTGAACTTGAATTTACTTCCATTCTTTCATCACTGTTATCTTCAGTTTCAATATAATTATGTACTTTATCTTTGATACTGTTAATTGATAAAGCCAATGCTTCATGAAAACTATAAAAGGTTTCTACGACTTGTTGGCATTCTTTTTCGCATGGTACAAAATTTAAATATGCAGAATCAAGACTTGTCAAGCTATTAGTAGTAGCTAAATGTCTAAATGTATTTACAAAACCTAGCGTTTTCAATGATCTCTCAATATTTTTTGATTTAGTTTGAAAACTATTTTCATTCATGTCACCTAGAATCAATATACGTTCATTACTATCAAATTGCTTTAAATGACGTATAAGGTTTTCTATAAAATTTCTTTTTGCTTCTTGAGGTGACCGATAGCAAACTATTATGATGATTTTTTCTTTTTCTAATTTTAAAGTAATATGTTCAAGATTTAAATATTCAGTTGAATCTATTGTCTTGATAGGCATGTCGTCTCGAAAATAAATAGCAACACCACCACCTTTTTGTGAGTGAAGTGGATGATTTGTAGACAATGAGTATGATCGTGATTTATGAATAAGAGTATAACCATTGATTTTGAATTTATCTATTTGGCTATTATTATTTAACCAAGTCTCAGTTAAACAAATCAAATCTGCTTGCCAAGTAAGATAATGATTTCTGAGTGCATTGAAATTACATTTCAATCCTTCAATATTATGAAATAGTATATTTAAAAATTCTGGAGAATGTCGAAATATCGATGTTTTTCTTTTCATCTCTTTCATTTGAGAAAGAATTCTATCAACATTTTCATTACAATAAAATTTATCAACATGTAAGTCAATAAGAAATAAACCTTCTAGTGTTCGAACACGAGATAATGCTGTGTATCCCATTCCACTACCGAAGAAATCTTTTGTACTAATTATAACTTGATCAACTGTTATTCCTTGAGCTTTATGTATAGTTATTGCCCAACTAAGACGTAAAGGAAATTGTTTTATTGCTTTTATTGATCGTACATCAGAATATTGTTGATCAATACTATCACATTCTCTTATTACACATATTGTATCACGTCCATGACAATGTGGACAACTAACTCGATGAAGTCGTCCAACTTTAGGTGAATCACATTTGATTATTATATGAGAAACGTGTGCATTATTAGTTTCTACAAATTCTACAATACGACCTGTCACACCATTAGCTAATCCATCAGTTACACAAATATTTTTAGTTATCATTACTCGAGCATTTTTAGCAAGGCGTAGTGATTTATTTATTTTTTTTGTATGTTTAGATTCATTCTGTTTTATCTCTTTATCATTGCTATCAACTTCATAAAATGTTCGAATATTGGTACAAATTTTTTCAATCATCTCTTCGTTATGTGCATCAACCTGAGTATTTTTAGCAAATAAATGTAATGATTCGGAATGATATTCCTTATGCAAATAGCGTTGATGACATTTTTCAAGTGAGTCACGATCTTCTTTATTCATATCTTCCTTCTTTTTAAGTTTTCGGATGCGATTTAACATTTGTGAAAAAGAACTATTTGTTTTTTGTCTTTCATTGATTTTGAGTTCGATATACTCAAAATGATCAGACCAAAGTAAAGAAGAATAAATACTTGAAGATGCAACAGGTGCACATTGATAAAAGTCACCAATAGCGATTATTCCAACGTTACCGAAAATAGCTGTATTCGAATGTATACCCATGATTTGAGTAAGACGAGCATGCATAGCACCCCAAAGCTTTGCTTGAATGAGAGAAACCTCATCAACAAATAATAGTTTTAAGGAATGTAATTTACATCGATAACTATTTAGTTTATCACAAGATAAATGATCGTTTAAACTATTAGGTTGAGTGCCAATACCGAATGCACTATGAATAGTTACTCCACCAACATTGACAGCTGCGGCACCAGTAAAAGCTGTGATCAATGTATGAATTTCGTCAATATTTTCATCAGGTTCTAAGTGTTTTTTTCGAGAAAAAATCTTCGTTGCTTCGTAATGAAGGCATTTCAAAAGGTGACTTTTACCTGTGCCTGCTCCTCCCGTAATGAATAAACGAAGAGGTTCGACATCACGATTATGCAAACGTTTTGTACACCATTCTCTAACATGATAAAATACTTCTTGTTGCTCATTGTTCATCGATTCTAACAATGGTCTCATTTCATCTGTAGTAGCATAAGTTTGCTTCAAATCAATGAACGTGTTTTTATTTTTACTTTTATGAATTACATTGAAATCAGGATCATCTTCTTGTTCAATTTCTCTTGACCATATACTATCTTTTTCTCTATTAGCAACAATTTCAGCCCAATCGTTGTCTTTCATATTCAATGATAATTCGTTGAATAATGATTCTGTTTCCCCAGTTTCTTTGACATGAGCTTCATATTTTCTTTGGTTTTCATGCACAATATCTTTTACTTTTCTTATGCATTGCTGTCGAGCATCAAAAAATTCACCTATTTGATAAAATAATTCATAAGGTTTTTTCAAATCATTCCGACTTCTTATGGGTAAATATAGAGATAGTAGATTTTCAAAATAATTTTCTCTATCTGTTTCTCGATTAAAATATGGATAACGTATAATAGCATTACGATTACAACGTTTCTTAATAGCAAAATTCAGTGTTTGTAATCGTTTAATTGGCGTCTTTGGATTTTTAATATCTTTTTTAATAGATACGATTTCATATTCAGAAGCAAAATCTGCCATACAAATATCGAATTCCGGTTCTTCTGGTCTATCAAAATATTTGTCAGCTAAGTTAGACATATATATATTTTCGTCATCTGGATCCATTTCTTTCAACATATTTTGAGATTTTAAAAATTTACAACTGTTTGAATGTGCTGGTACAAAAACAAAACCTCGACTTGAATATGTAAGTGGCATTTTAGTAGCACGATAAATAGCTTCTTGTACACTAACTTGTCGATGATTAAAAAATGTACCTGTTAATTTTTTCATTTCTTCTCGAACGGACATATTTCCTTCACGACATTCTTTATGAGTTGCTTCTAATAATAAACTCATTTCTCGTTCTGGTTTTGTTGTATATGACATAAGATATTTTGCACAGGCATATGGATCAAGTACGAATTGAATATCCATATTAGCATTCCATGCTTTCAATATTTCTTCATTATATTGATTAACCCATCGTGCATTAGGTTCTCTTTTATGAATCATGGTCGTTCTAGTATGAACAACACGAAGAGCACATTCGTAATCCTCATAGGTCCAATTATACTTTGTTAGAAGATTATCAAAATCCGACCATGACAATATTTTTTCTTTTTCCAATTTATTCATCGTTGCATTCATTTCCGTAAGAATTTCTTTCATTCTTTTAAACTTTTGTTTATCATCATCATTCTCAGCTTTTAATGGTTCACAAATGAATGTCCGTCGAGCAACAGGCCGAGGAAATCCAAAACGACACAACATTTTATACAATTTTAAACAAGACTTTGAATGATTACGAGAATGACTCTGTAATTCTTTGACAAGATAGTGTAATATTGGATCTTCTTCTAATGATGGGAATCGTGTCGTAATATATTTGTCACAAAATTTAACGATTTCCTCACGAGTTTTTTCATCGGTGTGCAATCCAATGTAAACAGGTGCACCTTTTACCCAAAGTGGCATGTGAGAATGTGGTGAACCTCGCATTTGCATTTCTATACGAGCAAACCAGTCTTCTACAATGCCTAGACACGATGCTCCACCTTTAATAAATAAATTCATAAATGTATTAAATCGTTTTTCAAACAAACGTGCAGCTAGAACAGGATTCGCACGTAAAAGTTTTGTTTTTTCTTCAAATGTATATGATTCTTTTATTGGAGCTCCAGTGTGACGTACAAAAGTATCAGTGAATTCTTTCCAACGTAGATCAGCACATGATAGTGTAAGAAAAAAAGTTGGAAAACCTAGTTGACGTGTCATTCCGAATAAATCTTTTAAACGTTTATGCCAATATTGTGGACTACCTCGAACACATTGCAAATGACGATATATCATATCTTTATTCATAAGAAATTTCATTTGCATTTCATCCAAGCTTTGTTTAGCATTCATTGGTAATTTTTTTCGGAAAGCAATATTAATTCCGGAGTATACTTGTTTCAAGTCACCTAAATACTGTAGATAAAAGATGTAACTTGAATCTGAAGCAAAACGAGAATCTGATGAAAATAAACGTGCTTTACAATACTCTTTCCATCTAAGAATTGTTTGACGATCTTCGTCATATGAGCCTTGACCATCTGGAAATAAATGAGGAAAGGCTAATGCTTCAATTGTTTTATCTGTTAATAATGAACTTAATTTATTTTTTTCAGCTGGTGCTACTACGCATGGCTCTTTGTCAAAGACTAAAAAATCATTAAAATCACATGGTTGAGTACATGAATCTGTACCAATATTATATTTAGTACGAATATCTTTATCATCTTCATTGATTTCTTCATCACTGTCAATAGTATTATCAATATCACCCAAAGCTAATCTTTTTAGACTATGTTCATTAGATGCTTCTGTTTGTTCAATGACAGTTTCTTCTGATATGTTGTCAACATCCATTGGTTCAACTACTAATTCAATGTTATTGTCATAGTTTTTTTCTTGATCAGATGTAAGATAATTTTCATGAATATCATTTATCTTTATGCTTTTATATCCTGGATGCATCTTAGTTAAAACAAATAGTGCATCTCTTACATCATTTGGATTTATTAATTGTTCTTCCCATACAGCTTTGTATTTTAGACGTCGTTTCAATTGCAATCGAACCATCATCGATTTATCAACTGGACGAGGTAATGTAGTTACAGTGTCTTCTACATCTGATGGCACACAATGAAGTGGCCCTTTAGTACCTTTTTGTGACAATCTACTCGATAATTTTCCTGATGTTAAGTTTACAATTTTCATAAAAGGTAATCGTAAAGCAATCAAATGTTTTTCAAGATTATTTAATCTTTTTAATTCAGATGGAATTTCACAAACTTTCAATTTATTCACGACTGCTCGGCTTGGCATTTGTCGTTTCTTTATTTTGTCTGAACATAATTTACAAATCCATTTTTGTTCTCTTGACGATGAATACATAAAGTAAGATTGAATATGTTTTTTTATTTCATATGACATGTTTTCTTTTATATACTTTTCTTCAACAAATGGTACAACCTGATTACGAAATAGTGCTAATCCACATGATAAACACACATAATCAGGTCCTTCTCGAATAATTTTTCGAAACTCTTTCAAGTTCTGTGTATATAAATTATTGTGTTTCAATGTACATTTATGACTTTGAAAAGTAGCATATTTTTTTAAAATACGTCTACGTTGATTATAAAGACGTCTTGATGTTTTTCTTACTAACGTATTATTATTTCGATACCAATTCAAAGCATATTGAATCATTTTCAATCGTATCGTTTTATTAAATTTGTATTTCTTTGAAACTTGCACGTTCATACGTTCTTTATATTCATCACGAAATGCCTTATTAGTATGATATTTATTTAAAACATGTAAATTTGATTGTGCTTTAACTTTATCACGAAATGTTTTATTAGTATGATATCTTTTTAAAATACGAATATTTGATTGTGCATTAACTTTATCACGAAACATTTTATTAGTATAATATCTATTCAAAATACGAATACTTGATTGTGTTTTAAGTTTATCACGGAATGTTTTATTAGTATGGTATTTATTTAAAATATGAATATTTGATTGTGTTTTAACTTTATCACGAAATATTTTATTGGTATGATATTTATTTAAAATACGTAGGCTAGCGCCTGCATTATTTTTCACACGAAAATTTATGTTCTTATGGTATTTTACTAAAATATGTTTTTTTATCCGAGATTTTTGTTTCTCACGAAAGTCATTGTTATTATGATATTTATCTCGAAAATATTTTATTGCACGTTCATTTTCCTTCTTACGAAATAAAATATTCTGATATTTATTTTTGAACCAAATAGTTTGTCTGCTACGTTTTAATATTAAGTTTTCATTGTTAATAGTAGCTTCTGTTTTTTTTTTATTTCTAATCTGTAATTGTCTCCTCCGTTCATTGTCTAGACGAGCAACTTTTGATATAAGCTTTTCAATAATATCTTTAATGATCTTGTAATCATCAAATGGTTCTTTCACGTTGATCACATCAGAAGATGTAGCTTGCATATCTTTGGTTACAAAATTGACACAATCTGAAGGTATTGCATCTGGTTTCAGTTGCCGCTTATAGGCTTCTTTTCTTTTTTTCACTTTTGATAAAGTTGTTTTTTTACGAACCATGTCTGATGTAGTAGGAAGTGATGAAATAGATAAATTGAAAACAATAACCGTTTCTCGTCGAGACTAATCACGTATGTAAACTAAGCACGGCTTGAGCTCCTAAGTGCGAAACGTCTATATCTCTTAACTTGGTGAGATATTCAAACGAAAAGTTTCTTTCGAACTAGATCTTCTTTGTTACTAAGCGAAGATATAGTCGAGACTAAGTAAGAAACTTCAGAAAGTCTAAAACTAGACGACTTTCTTTTAATTAAACTTTCAATTTATTATTCTTTTGTCTTGTAATAATAATTACAATCAAAAGAAAAGTTTCTTTCGAACTAGATCTTCTTTGTTACTAAGCGAAGATATAGTCGAGACTAAATAAGAAACTTCAGAAAGTCTAAAACTAGACGACTTTCTTTCAATTAATTTTTCAATTTATTATTCTTTTGTCTTGTAATAATAATTACAATCAAAAGAAAAGTTTCTTTCGAGCTAGATCTTCTTTATAAGCAAGCGAAGATATACTCGATACTTAGTAAGAAACTTCAAAAAGTCAATAATTTAATGTGTGTCTTTTAATGAAACGTTAAATCTAATATTGTTTGTTTTTGTAATAATAGTTATGGCGGATGAAATCTAAAATGAAGTTTAAAAACGTATAAAATCAATAAGATACTATGAGATAAAGAATTTAAATGCAATCATTGTAGTTCTTAGAAGCAATGATTATAAATTTTATTTATTTATTGAATTATTTCTAGTTGAAAAATGAAACACTATAACTGTGAAACTTTTTAGTAAATGAAAAAAAGACAGACCAATAAACAATATTATTTTCTTCACAGAAAAGAAAAAGAAAAGCATTGATACTAATGATAAACACAAAAACAAATAACTTCATTCCTCGTTTTTCACTATGTCAAGCTTCACGAGTCGTAGCACCTTCGATATATGATGAATGGTTATAAAAGATCGAAGAATAACCACTTGATTGTTAGCTTGTTTGTTGAAGCAGCTGTTGTATATATCGGACGAAGTTTATGTGGAAAAGGACAATTTTTTTATCTTCAACATTTATTCCATTTTTAGAAGATTGTCGTGATCAAGTATAATAGCTTTTGCCATTTCAATCGATTCAAAGACAACAAAAGCAAAATTTACTGCACCAACCTGAGAACCTGCATTACCAATACGAAGAAGGAGTTTACTATGTGGTCGAAATGTTTCACTAATCTAAACTTTAAAACCACCAGTAACCGCCAGTTTTCATAAAAGATAGACGACATGAGAAGAGACTAGCCAGTTCATTGTTAATAAATTGGAAGCGTATTGCATGAAGAACATGCAAAGTGGAAAAGATAAAACAAATAAATAGTTTGTAACAAGAGGTGACACATATATCACACTATCAAGCTATCTTGCTTTATACGAGAAAAGTACACGATCAAAATACGATCGCATACGAGCGTCGTTTACGATGGTCGTATTCAGTGGTCGTTTACTGCAATCGTATATACTCGTATTGCATCACATACGATCGTCGTATACAATCATCGTGTACGACCATCGTTATTCGTCGTATTTTTTTTGTACACGATCGTATACGATCGTAGATTTTAAACCTGGGTAAACAAGATTACAAATTATTTATTCGGTGATTAATCACTTCATTGTATTATTAGAATTGAATAAGACTTTTATTTATTAAACTTGCATTGAAAGAAAATAGAGTTAAACTGGGAGGAACTATTTTAACAATGAATCATCATATAGAGATTATTTCAAGGGAGAAAAACTCACTCGGACATTTCGAGTCTTTTCGAACCACTCCCTATCATTCGCAACCATTCGAATAGCTCCGAATGAGCTATTTTTCCCTTCGATTGTTTACTTCACTTTAACAAATAGATATATAGCAAGTTTATCATTTAAATTATTATAAACACTAAACTTCAAGATATTTGGTTAAAAAATTGAGCAGATCGAAAGTGAAAAAAAAATAATAATTTACGATCTTCATCAGATCATAGTCAGACGCAGTTGAAGACATAAGTTTGCAGAAAATCTAAGGATTAGACAATTGATTATAATAGTTAGTATTATAAAATCTCTGAAACAAAAGATCCATTTTCTTATATAATCTGAATGAATCAAGCTGAAGTTTCCAGCATATATATTCCTGCTGTAACCCAATGTCTTCTGGAAAGTATGATCGATAATTCTTATAGTACCGTGTAATGTCATGTGAGCAAGAAAAGGCAGCGAAAATTTTATGAAGGAAATAATATCCCCCATATATATTTTGGAGAAAATCTCTCGGACCTTCTTAGGAGAAGTATATTCCTTAATTATATACTTAATTGAAATATCTGAGATTGAGCTTTATCAAACATATTAATATTTGGATTAGTTAATAGTCATTCTTTACATTTTTCTTGTGTTCGATTATCAATATTCATTAGACATGAACTGCTATCGATATTATACTAATATGTTAACCAAATTGAATTAGCTTTATTACGAATCTATAAAAAAAAAAAAGAATTTTTTCTCATACAATTTAATGAAAACGAAAATATTTAAAATCTCATACTGCTTGACCATTTTTTTGTTACATTTTCACATTTAGTCAAAAATTGAATATATTTTTTTGGTTAACGTTGAAAAATGCTGTTCATTTAAGTCAATAGAGCCTTCTTTAATACTTGTTTTATGTCGAAATAATAACTCATCTTCATTGTTAATTTCTGTTAAACTCTAATAAAGAGAAAAAATGATCATATAATGAAAAAAAAAGTTATAAACATAAAGAAACAGTTATTTTAAATATAAATTGAAGCAAGATGTGCACGTAAGTCTTCAATAAATAGTAAAGGACCAATAATTTGTATGAAATAAATATAAATTATTGACAAATGAATGAAAACGAGGATGATGATCAATGCATAAAAATAGACCCGTTGATGTTATTGATATTATATTAACTTTTTCTGATTCATTATGAAGTAATCTATCATCAACGAAAGATGATGAGGATGAAGATAAATATACCATTGAATAAAAATCATCATCTTGACAAAATCTAAAGAACAAAAATATTTTATTAAAATAATAAATGAATATAAAATTTTACTCAGGTGTTGGTGGACCATATTGTTCACATTGTTCATCTTTATCATCTTATTTTCCAATTGAACATTGTAATGGATTTGATAGTGATGATTCCATAGATGATTGACATGGTGTTCCTGTTGTACAGGAGTTAATATTTAAATCAATTGACATTACACCAGAACTATTTGTCGAATATGTATCTAGAAAAAATATTGTTATAAAAAACTGCTGCATCAATTTAATCAATGATGTATGAAATATGAGACTTTATGAAAATCGCGAACACGTCATGATTTTTGGCACTGAATCCGAGATTTCGATTTCGAAAAGGTGTATGAAAGCTGTAGATATCCTTATTCTGTATGGCATTGTTTTCAGTAACTTCCAAAATTCAAAAAAGAACTGAGCATATTTTTATATTTCTTTCGACATAGTTCCAAAAAATAAGCTGAAGCGAAACGTACTCGTAAATCTTCAACAGATGATGGAGAATCAACAAAGGAATGGTGACGACGATGATGATCATTTCATAAAAATAAACCCATTGTTCTTCTTGATGTTAAACAAATTTTTTCTAATTTATTATCAAGTAATTCACCATCAAATACAGATAATGAACATTAACATTACCATAGCACTGGAAAAGTCATCATCTTGTCAAAATCTAAAACAGAAAAATATTTTGTCGAAACTAATAATTAAATATAAGATTCGCAACATTCAATTTTATTTAATGTTGCATTTAATATTTAAAATTTAAAAATTTTCTTTGATTTTCTTTTAGCTAATTCTTTTTAATTTTCATAATTATGATAAATATCAAAATAACTACCATAATAAATTGAAAAAAATGAATATCATATTTGGTGATTAAATCATGACGATGAATGAGAGTCAATAACATTAGCATTTGGTGTTAAACATGAATCCATATCTCTCAACAAAAATGATATAATTTATTTATGATAATCACATTTAAAGATTCATAATTATAGAACTTTCGATAAACGTTGACAACTTATAACAGTGAAAGATTTTGATAACATTATAATCTAATTAATTGTACTCGACATACGAAACTTGATAACTATGAAACCTCTACAAAGACTTGGAGTCGATTTTCGAAAGAAACAAACATATGCATTGACGTGTTTAATATGATTCATTATCTTTCATCAGCTGCTTTACAGCTGTTTATCATATGAAAAAGAATAGAGTGGCGCCTAACTTTTTCTTTGAATTTTCGTTTTAATTATGTGAAAGGGGAACTTTGTCAAAATCGTGATTTTCGAGCTCCAATTGTAGACAAACTATTGGTTCTATAGATGGTCTGACTAAAAATGGTACGAATTCGATCTCGATACTTGCACTTCGTGTTTGAACGAGTATTTTCTGACTTTCCGTTCTCGAGATCATTCGAACAGAAAATGACCACTTTTATGCGTACGTCGAGTAAGTAAAAGAAAAAAAAAAAGAAAAAAAAAACTAGATGGTAGTCGAGCTTCGCTCAACTACGAAATGC